ACGCTCTTTATGTTCTTATTTTTGAACGAGTGAGGTTTTTAGATGTTGGCAAAGCCAGCACAATTGGCATGTCTAAAATAGCTTAGGATTATGCTGCGCGATAACCGATATTAACATCTCAGTGAGGTGATTCTTTGTAAGCGAAAACGATTTCCATCTTTTTACGAAGTGTTCCTTTAAAAATAGTGAAACGGGCATGCAGAGAAATCGCCTTTTCCTTTTTTTTACTTTCACCAGTTTTCCTCCTAAAAGGGCAGTGTAACCATCAGTCCCATACTACGGATAACCTTGCACCACGGTTTATGTGGTACACATGTCCGTTTCCGACCGAAAACTGTTTAGCATTTCCAGCTAGAACCTGTAGCTTCGCTCGGAACTAGTAACATACTATTTTAAGTAATACTGTTCATACTGATGTAGATTTGTCATCGCATAACAGCGATATGCCCATCAAGAGAGAATGGAGTAGGGCAAACTTTGTTCTCATTGCAATGTTGGAGCAGGAACTGAACAGCCACAGAATAAAATGAGAATTTTTCCGCGTCACCTAAGAACATCTGCGGTCTAAAGTAAAAATCAACAACGACCTTGACCCTCTGCCTTCCCTCACAGAAATGTTCAGGACAGAAGGCCAACTCTACGCCGCGAGAGCACCGCGAATTAAAAAGGTGTAACGGCCCCGGCTTTTGGAAAAACTTACAACGCTGGCGACAACAAAGTATTTGACAGGACTTTTAGTACGCCACCATTCTACAAACAAAAGTGTAGCCAGCATCTCTATGACAACCAGGGAGAAATTTCACCGCTCAACAGTTTCGCGAAGACCTTCGCCAGCATTCTCTTCCATCGTCTCAATAGTCATCTGGAACAGAGAATCCTACGAAAAAGCCACCAAACTTCGCGGGCAGGCAAAAGCGGAAAAAGTGCTGCTAGATGCATACTATGCTATCCACTGAATCACGTTGACGGTAGAATGTACAGAATGCTTCAATCGCATGGTGTGGCAACTCCAAGACGAGATGTTGGCGCACGTCACAGACAATGGGGCGATCTCAAGCACATTCGAAGTGATCAGTGGAGTAAAACAAGGCTGTGTATTTGTTCCCCCTCTCGTCAGCTCATGTTCTCTGACATG